ATATATATATATATATATATATATATATTTATTTATATATACATATACATATATATATATATATATATATACATATATATATATATATTTATTTATTTATATATTTATAATTTTTTATATACTTTGTGCACATACCACACGCACGCACGCCCGCACGTGTGTCACCTGCGCACAGTGATATCGCGGGATATGTTGAAATATGAATACATACACACAGTGTACACGATGAAAGTCGTTTCATGTAACGCGAAACGAAACGACGACCTTCATACGGATACTTCTCGCGCTCGCACAATTCGCGAGCAAATTAATCGAACAATTTCCGTGTCTATGTGCCAAAAATCTCTTTCAATTCCATCAATAAATCAGGAACCAAAGTAATTTACTCTAAAATAAATAAAAAAAAAGAAATCCAATTTTCTTAATTTTACAAGAGATGAATATGCTTGCGTACGTTTCTCTGACTCTTGCAAAGTTGCAAAATTTTACAAAAATGACCAAACAATCGCAAGTTCTTTTTTTGGTTAATTAGAAAATTAGTCTCTCGGACAGAGACCGATTAAAACGTTGCAGACGAGCGATTCGATTCGCTGCGATGCGGCCAGACGAGACGCTGGCGGAAAGTGACTTGCGTTTACAACCGGAGAGAATGTGTGCGCGCGTGCGTGTGCGCTAAGGTGCGAGTAATTAAAGTTAATTCCTCAAAGTTATATATAAAAGCGAAGAGAAGTATTTGCTGCTTTCCTAATTCTCATCACCTGCTGCTGCTCTCCTTTCCTTCCTCTCATTCCCTTCTTTCCTTTTTCTTCTTTTACTCTTTTAAACTTTACGCTAGCTACGTTTTGTGCACGTGAGTCGTCGCTTGTTAGAGAAAATCTCGCAGAAATCTTGGCTCCGAAAGTATGTGGACATTTACTACCTCCCCGACGACAATCGACGGTGATAGTGTGCACTCTACACGCATGTGCATCGCGTCATCATTACGAACGATGGTATACGCTCCCTTCTGCTCCATCGCGAATGTGTGTGTATATGTGTGTGTATATATATATATATATATATATATATATATATATATATATATATATATATATATAACACCGGAAGATACAGAATACGACACCCACAACAGCTTCCTCGGCGCTCAGAACTCGACTGATGATCTTCCAGAAGAAACGAAAGCGGCGCAACAAACGCAACATATAAAACGATCCTTGCGGAGACTTTCACCGAGAATTCTGTCTAAATTAATCTACGATTAGTTAATTAAGCAAACAATGTTGCTAACAATGTAAAATCAGAAAAATCAAATGATTTGTTATCAAGGCTCCTGGTCCCATTACTGCAGAATTCTGAATTAATGACATCAGGAGCGTGGAAATGCAGAAATTTTTGCTTGTCATTTTCAAATAAAACGATATTCGTATGAAAAAAAACACTTCGGCCAAAATGCTCCGAAAGCTATCTTTTTCTCCTGACAGCGAATAAACAGCCTTAACATTAGCGCGGCAAAATCATGAGGGAAGGTTGGTTAAAGAGGAAGATTTTTGCGTGTCATGTTAATTTTAAGGCTATTTATTGACTATCGAGGGAAAAGGATAGTTTTCGGAATATTTTACAAGTGCTCAATCGATCTGAAGCGATCTCTTTCGTACAGATATCCTTTTGTTTGAAAATGGCACGCAAGAATTTTTGCCACGCTTTCTCTCTTTTGACGTTATCGACCCAGGGTTCCGCGGCAGTGAGACCAAGAGTCGCGAAAAGAAGTAAACAACTCTCTTAGTCTCTCATTACAACCTATTTAAGATTGCTACTGACAATTTTGTCGGTTAATTATCGAGTAGTACAACCGGAGTGAGAGTCACCCTTGAGATTGCGCGTTTTCACCCCGGAGAGAAGACGAGACGCTGCGAGACGGAAGCGCGAAAAAACAAGACAACGTGTCGTACACGCACCACAAGTCCGCGTAACGTTCCCTTCGCCTTCCTTCTTAGACGACCACCGCTCGATGCCGAGCGGTACGAATGCACGATCGAGCAGCGAGAACGATAAATGAAGTTACGTTATAGATAGGCAAACGTATTACAATGTATCTTTATTACCTAAAATATGCAACTTCGAAAGTATATTCGAAAGACTTAGCAGACAAGTATGGGGCAAAACGACACATTCGGGAGCTAACGCGACTGGAAGGGCGCGAACGAAGGTCAGAGGGCGCAAGAACGCACGAACGCAGACGATGTTGTTGCTCTCGAGCAAGCGCGTCTTGATGTCGTCGCTAAATCATACGTCGTCGATCGAGTCGATGAATTCAACTGGTCCGATACAAGAATGTGAACCGGGACAGAGGGGGCGGGGATAAAAGGGCAAGAGGACAGGAGATCGATTTGCCGCCGGTCGCGTAACTCTAACGAATCGAAGTGTAACAATAACGAGTCACTTTTCTCTTCCGAAAATCAGCTTTGACTGATATACACACACACACTTACATATATGCACACATACACACATACACACACACACACACACACACACACACACCATAGGTCGTAGATTGAGAACTAACAAACACGTCCTGACGAAATACTCGCGATAACAACCAACAACATGCGCGCAACGAAAAAACAAAATGACTTATTAAAACCCACTTGGCCAAATCATTGCTGTATTCGCACATATTCATTATCATAGCTCTATCTATAGTACATAAAACAATAACACTAAAAATCATTTAATTCGAGTAATTCTATCTTTAATTAATATGATTTCCTTTTCTTCTCTTCTTCTCCATCTTCTTTGTATATATAGTAAATTATTGTATTTAAACGCACGCTTACGCCTAGCTGCATACGATTTTCTGTTTTTTTTTCTCCTTTAATAATATATAATATAATAATATACTATGTCGCATATAAAAAACAATTACTTAGTATAGAGTACAAGATCGTTCCTTAGTTAAGTTTTTGTTTCTTGTTTTTTTTTTTGTTTTGTTTCTCGCAACTATTTATATAAACGTAAGATCTCGTCCATCTCTAAAATGAACATGCGTCCGCCGCTCCCAGAACAATCACGAAAAATCGGGAATACAAAGAATCGAGAATGATCATAGAAACGATGTCGGAGCAAGAGGAAAAGAAACGAGATAATTCTATCGTTTGCGTTGCGCGTGAAGAATTTGGTACCGGCTCCGTCGAGTCAAGTCATATGAATTTTACACGGAAGAGATTAGTCTCGACTCGTGCGATCGATTTCTCCGAAGCGAACGAAACACATTATTATTATTATTATTATTATTATTATTACTGATATATACACGTCATTTGTCACCCCCTCCATGGCGATGGACCATCAGTAAATTTGGCTACACCTGAAACCGGTGTGTGTTCGATCAATTCTTCGTCTTTCTTCACATAGTATCACCCTGACACAATTCGCATTTTAAATGCAACTAAATTTGATTTTACGCGTTACCCTCGTGCGTTATACTTAGAATATACGAGAATGCCATCGATGTGATCATAAGAATGACATTCTCTATCTCTCTTTCTTTCTTTCTCTCTCTCTCTTTCTTTTTCTCCTACGTACGGCAAAGTGTCGTTGACTCGAATTGACTTTGACTACACATACAAAGGATTTATCACCGACAACGGTACTTTCGCGTTTCGAAATCTCGTGTCGTGTATTGCACAGTCGCAGCTTACCAATTTCATCAACGTGAATGATAATTCACAGATGTCGGCGGATGAACTATACGACGCGAATTTCTGGATAACGCACTGTTAATCGCGGATTAACGTTCTCTGAGAGGTTTGCAAAACGAAGGTAAGCTGACGTCTATATAAAAGAAAAGAAGGTAAAAAGGGGAGAAAAATAAAGGGATTTTTCAGAAAGTAATATAAAGTCACAACATGTCAAAAAAACGTATTTGTGGCCGGCCGTGGTCGCGCGACGACCGATCGCCGGGAACGGAGGATCAGCATCGACTGCCGTTTTTCTCTCGCTCTTGGTCGGCGTAATCCAAAGTGACCTTCCTTCCGATTTAAGCTAAAAATTCATGAGGTGTCATTTTGGTTGGCAGGTCTGAGCGTTCACCTTGTGTCGTGTCTGTGGTGTGAGATCGAGCCAAGGCACCGATGAATCCGGCTGCTCTAGCTGAAGAGGCACGCGACATCGCGATGTTGCTGCGTTAACAGAATAATCTGCTCCACGTTCCGCCTCCGCATCCTACAAAATTCATTCATTCAGTTCTCTTACGCCACACACGCGTCCACATGCGGATCTAATGAGATGCAAAGAGACACAAGAGAGAAAAAGAGACAGACAGATAAAGAGAGAGAGAGGCACGGTTTGCGAACGCAGCACGGTAAAACGACCGAATCGCGACGCTCGGACCGAAGCAGCGACCTTTAAGGTGATGCGCGCTGATGCACTTCCTACCTTACTCTTTCTTTGTATGGAGTTTCCATACCTAGATAAAAAGGAAAAAATATGTCCGCGTTATTTATCTAGAGAAACTGTGTGTGTTCACTTCTTAAACAGTTTATTCTTAAGAATCATTTCGAAAAATGTCGGCCACGCGCCGACACATTCGCGTAAGTGTTCGTTCAGAATTTTACGCGTGACTCATTACATACAGAATTATAAAATGCGCGTCGCTTTTATCTGCTTCGAAGTTTGACATCGAGTATTTTCATTATCAAGCGTTTCCGTACGCGACATCCTCAATGGAGATCAAATCCGTGAATGCGTATTTCCGAATGTATCCCGACTCCGCGATTCTTGCTTGCGAGTACAGAATAGAAACAACTCACCAAACTCGCGCTGGTAGAAGAGGCGGACGTGGTAGCAGAGGTAGGCACCGTCAATATTGGATAATATTATCTACTACCGCGAATCCGCATGCTCCCAGCCCAGCACTCGACATCAACCGAACAAGTTCCCTAGCATGAGACGCAGCAACTTCCAATGGTGGTCGACGTGGAAGATTGCTAGACTCTGTTGATTGCAACAATCATGGTTAGAACAATAATTTGGATCCTTGAATATAATAATTAATTTGAATTCTTTATAAGACCAAGTTATGATAGTGCCAAGCTTACAAAGTGTACAAGTGAGAATGCAAAGTGTGCGAAGCTAGAAGGGAAAGAGAATTTTGTAATAAAATTACTATAAATTACTGAACAAATATTATAGAACTTTATAACTGAGAGGAACATCGACATTCTATTTTAATTTATTATTCTATCGTTTCATATATGATATTTATATTTTAGGGACTAAAATACACTAAAGTACTAAATTAAACTAGGAACTAAAGTACACTATATATTATAAGTTCATCTATTTCCGCACTAATAGAAAATGTGGTAAAATTGAAAAAAAAATTATATGAAAAAAGAAACTCTAATATTCTCTCCGTGTATTAACGATAAATGCTCGGAGAGGGCATCTTCCTTCGAAAAACGAAGGGCACTAGGATCGAAAAAGTGTGCGTGCTTCTTCCTACTTCAATGTCAATATTAAATTCTCACCAAGTATAGCAGAGTTCAGCCTTGCACAGACCGTTTCCCTCTGTTGCGGATCTAACTGCCAGCCGACCGGCGAATTCCATGGATTGGCGTACGCTAAGAGACTGAAAGCGTCCTGCAGCATCTTTTTATTGCTCTCGTTTTTCCCATGCTGCTGCCTCAGGTGTATTGATTGCGAGTACAATTGTCTACCAAACTCCAACATCTTCTCAATTGCCTGCTTATTACCGCCGCATAATTGCTTTTTGTTACTTTTATTTGTCGTATTGTCGGCGCTGATACTGCAGTCGCCGTTTTGCTGCTGCTGTTGTTGCTGCTGCTGCTGTTGTTGTTGCTGCTGCTGTTGCTGTTGCTGGCTTTGATTGGCACTATCGATTTCTTCTGCAAGCAACAATAATTGCCTGTCTTCAGAACTACGGATCACTAGCTAAAAAGTGGCGAATCACTACATAAAGCAGTTAAATTAATTCACATGCATTCAAGAGTATATAATTATTTTTCAAAGAATGATCGAGAGATCTTCACCTCGCGATCTTCATTTATTTATTATCTGCGTTTTGAAGTATCCAACTTTTAAACACATATCTGCAATGATTTACTACAAATCTACTACATTCGTCCTTTGTAATAATCTTTATGTTTACGTAAATTGTTAGAGAAGCGATAGTAATTGTATCGAAATATCTCACCCATATCTACATCCTCTCCGTTTTGACACTTGTACCCATTCGAGTTCGCATTACTATTCTGATATCCGTTTTTGACACCATTCACGACGTTAACGCCGCTTTCCTCCATGTCAACGTCATCCTCTATTTGGCCGTTGACAAACTGCTGGCCGCTGTTGCCGTTCATCGTGTTACTGATATTCATCTCTTCTACGTTACTGTTCACCGAGGATTTCGCGTACGCTTTGGTCGACTGTATCACGCTCGTTTGATTAACACCGTTGCCGCTCTGACAGACTTCTGAGTCACTGCCGTTCACCATTTCAACAAACTGACGGCATTTCAGCGCGAACAATAGATTAGGATCCCTATCGAGGAGTCCAGGGTATAATCGACTAGTTAACTCTATCGCTTCACCCATCCGTCCGGCTAGGACCAGTTTCAAAATCCCTGCAAATCATCGTCAAATCACGATGTGAGAATTGGATAAGGGCAAAACAAGCATGGGCGGAGAACAAAGATTGGTTGAATTAACATGATGATGATATTGCCAAACGCGTTTTGCTTGAAGGAAACGAAACTTCTGGTTTTTACGAGCCAAATTCTGTTCTTAAGAAGCAGAAATTCTATTTCCTTCAGTCTAAACACATTTAGTTGTGTTACGTTGAATCAACCAATATATTTTTCTCCGTATATAAGTTCACTAATCAGCGCCGGGTTCGATCAATTTTGATACTTTCGCATAATATAGTTTCGTGTGATACTATAAACTTTTATTTCAGATTCTTATGAAATAAAAGTAGTGTAACTCTAACGATTTTCCAACACTCCAATTATCCTTTCGGCGCTATTAGCGAGCGAACAAATCACGACAAAGCTTACTCTGTCGATTTTTGATCGAGTTGTAGTCCTCCTCAAACACTTGGTCTGTGCTGTTGGCGAACGCTTCAGCAGTGGCGCAATATCCATGGTGGACGAGATACGTGGACACCATTCTATCGAATTGGTGCAGAATCCGTTACTTTCGAGACATCAATGACGGACACACATTTCAGGTGAATACTTTCAACGTGAATTTCTTTCACTCGTACATGAGCGTTTAACCCTTTCAATCTCGTTGAATTATGTATATTCCACAATGAGTTCAAAATTTCATTTTGTGTTAACGTTACTTACTTTCTTACGCATAGCAACATGTTTCTTACACATACATGTTTAGAATTCTTCAGAAAAGAAGTGCGACCGAAAGGGTTAAGAGGGTGTCTCGTGACAAACGATAACGATAAATAAAGGAGAAGAAAGAGTGATTACGAGAGAGTGGGAGAGAGCTCAGCTCGTGAGTAGCACGTCAGAAAGAGTCACGCACCCGTTTCACTTTCTGACAGAGGAACTATACGGACGATGAAATCGAGTTACAAGACAACTGATAGCGAGTTTCATAGATCACGAAAGCACAAAACCAAGTGCGAAGCGTCATGAAAAGAAGCGGCCTCATGAGATATTAACGATAGCTTTGGGAGTGAGAAGCACCGAAGAAACATGCACGCTTCGTGTTGGCCGCGACATTAAATCGTGAATTGATGTAATTACAACATATTGACATCATTTTTCATATTTTCTAGTTGGTTACGCACGATAAGTATCACGAGTGTTGCAATTTCGAGAATAAAAAATCAGAAATGAACTATGCACACGTGGTCTACTTTTATTTCACAATAAAATTGGAAGTTTTAAACAAATAAAACAAAGTCAATGTAGATTATTTACAGATCAATATAAGTTTTGACTGTTGCGAATAATGCTTGAACAAATGAAAAAAAATAATTCAATTTATAAGAAAATTTAAATATTCTCCGTAAACTCGGATGTAAAATTTAATAGTCTTTCGCTTGTAATATATCAGATCTCGCTCTTCCGTACGATGCTGTCTTCGACGATTCATGAAGTCTCTTTTTACGTTATTTCATGCTTGACTATGCACGTGGCTGCACTTTCATGCGATCTGTTAGACCCGCAACCTATCGTATCGCTACTCGATCTCACCATTCGCACACGACTTCCGTCCGCATGAATACGTACTTGTGAAGAACTTCTTGCCATTGGCCCTGACCATGATCCGGTGTGGGGTAGTTTATGATCTGTAATCTTGTTCGGACACGCAATTCGTTGATCATATCTCCAATATCGAAAACAAATGGTGCTTGTCCAAAATTGGCATCTACGACTTCACCCGGAGTCTGCAGACCGACCGTCGGGTAGAGATTAGGCTGCGAAAGCAGAGTCGAGTGAAACTTTAGTACATGCCATAGAAGAATTCGGTTCGCGTAAGATTGTACGATAATCATCATAAAACTTGCGATATCTCAAAAGTATCAGAAATAAATTATACATATTGGTTGGGGTATATACACTCATCTCAAAATGAAATTAGAGCTTGTGCAGATGTACAAAAATCTAAACATTCTCGGAGCTCAAGTGTAAGATTTAATAATCCACTAGCGACTTGAAAATATTACTCGTTTGCTATAGTCAAGTCTAGATTAGCCGTCAAGTACGAGACTGTATCGTGGTTAGCGTGCGAAAAGAATTCGTAGGCGTACATTTCGAAATGACTCCTCGAAGAGTCCCTAAAACGGGCATCGGTGCTTTCTCTATTCCGAAATACAGAAATAACAAATCAATTTTCTTTTCCTCGCACAAGAACGCACGAGAAGGGTGACATTAGGTATCGCACGTTCTGCCCGCATGTGGCCTTCGGCCTTATCGATGCGGTGAGTGGCTTACAGGAAGGTCTGTGAAGGCGACACCCAAGTGATGTCCATTCTTCGTGTAGAATGCGGTGTTGTCAACCAGATTGACGCCGCAGCCAATCACGTCACCGGTAGTGAAGGTCGGCCCGTAAGGCTGACCTGTACCGGACGAGCAAAAGCTGTGGCCGTCATCGCCGTGGTAACCATATGAATGTTTGTCCCAACCCGGCAACCTGTTCACGTTGACACCATGTGCTGAGAGACCGATGCCCATGTAGCCATCGCGTCCTTTGCTTACGATTTTCACTTCGAAATAATACAAGCCACAGGCTGCTGGTATGGAGTGCGTTGTGCGAACACTGGCAGCGTCTTTGTGAGTTTTACCGTAACCTGAGAACAGAGAAGGCGGCTCGTTCATTATGGCCTCGTTCATTATGGGTTCGCTCATTATGGACTCGCTCATCGTGGAGTTCTTCTCTGCGAAGATCCCCTCTCCCTCCCTTCCCCGTATATAGGCTCATAATCGGCGCGATACTGTTCCGCATGTATATCAGTCAGTACGAAAGTTTCAGTCACGAGTAGAAACGCGTTAAAAATAGAGATGCACTCGCGTGGGATGTATCTGTGCCTTGAGATTAAAAACAAGGTCATCGTGCGACTCGGAGATGCAAGGACAAATGCCATGCGTGCAAGAGCACGCCTTGCCTTCTGCGTCCACATCTGCTCTTTCATTACCGGAATCGCGCGCGCGTTTATCAAAGCTACAAGTATAAAGAATGTATGCATAGAGAATGTTGAAAGGAGAAAGTTTAACGGAGGAGAGTTACACGGTGGAATTATCTTGCTCCTCTACCTTTCGTAATGCAGAGTAAACGCAGAGTATGCAGAGTAGTCGTCTTGGCTTCGGTCTAGACTTGATCGAGAAGATTCGCCGTTAATGGAGCCTCGTTTTTTTAAAAAAAAAAAGCAATCATTTTGTTTTGCATATCCTCTCTCAAGTTTACATCTGATGGTAAAGATAAGAAACTCCGTACTTTAATGATGTCGTAATTCGCGAGATAAATAGATGCGTTTATTATTGTTTCAGGGCTTAACTCTTTGAGAACGTCTGCAAGAAGTGAGTAAATACGGTTACAAGAAGTAATAAAAATGTAATTTAACCAGAGAGAGAGAGAGAAAGAATTTTATATATAATTTTATTTCGACATTATACTTGATTACATTCTAATACTTTTTGTTTATAATTCATTGCACTTCTGCTCTCTAAAATTCTCAGGGTGAATTTTACTCGAAAAATAGATTAATTGTCGAGTCGCTCGGATTGGAGCGACTTTCCATTCATATAAAGTGATTTCTTCATTCTTAGTCGTCGAGTAAATATTTTGACTCGAAATTGAAGAGCGAATCGACCGAAACATTCATTCGCATGGAGTCAGAATTTATTTTAAGTTTGAGTGAAACGTTCACCCTTACGATTTTGAGTGGCAGTCGCTATCGCTTTGAGAGAAAGTACCGCCACTTTTCACTCGTTTTCAGAGAGTACACACGTGCAGAATTTCCCACTGGCACGCGTTTTACTTATTTATTTTTTTTCCTTTTTTTCTTATTGACCGAGCACCCTCGGTCTCCCTATGTTCAATTCGAGTGGATCTCACGCATCCGTGTGATGCTTTTTACCCCGGCTAAAACGCGATAGCTGAAGAGCGAGTTTGGCGAGGCTGGTTGGCGGCTCTCCGTATCCGAGATAGCGGTAAGCTAAGAACTGTGGTCACCTCCTTCGAGAGATATGCTTACGTGCCTTAGACGATGCGAAATATCGATTCCCTCATTCGCGAGTGTTGCTACCGCACACGTTATAACCGCGCGAAGGAGCACGATCTAAAGCCATCGAAGTCATTACGAATGAAGTGGCCGGCTGCATTCGCGCGTGCGGGTCGCCCGCACCGGAGCAACGGCGAGCCGATGTATTTTCGGTGCGTATTACTTACTCCGTGTGTGTGCGGCGATGATATCCACACGCGATGTGCGATAAACAATGCGCGCGCTTTAGGAAGAGCGACTTTCGCAAGCGAGCGAACGAACGCGAACGTGGAAATGTTAACGCGAGCAATCGCTTATGTAACGAAATATCGCACGGCTCAAATGCGAGCTGAAAGACAACGGCCACGTGTATTTTCCTCGTCGCGAAATTCCACCGCGAAAACTTCGCGCTTGAATCTTGAAGCCTCGCCGACCGTTCAGTTCCCCATGAACGACGAGCGTTTCGATAATTAACGGTATCTCTGCAGGGAAGGGATATATTATAATCTCTTTTCTTTCATATCAATTTTTTCCAACTTTACCATGTTTCTAGTGATCCAGGAATAGACCGTCGGTAGAGTCCGTCCTGCTACACTGAGAGAAAAAAAATGATTGCTCTAAGCGAAATTGTAGTTATTTTTCGCCCCGACCATATTTCTTGGTTGCTCTAACGCGAAAATCGCAGTAACGTACATATAAGGTTATCATCATTAACATTACAGTAAAATTTCATAAAAAAGTGTTTTTCTGGAATCATCTTTCTCTGTGTGATTGCAGTTACAGATACTAAATATTCTTTCGTCAGTTACAGATACAAAACGTTCTTTGAGCAGTAAAGTCCTCTACAGACATAGCAGACCTCGCTGGAAACACAGCGAGTGTCTTAATAGCACATTTCAGTTCCTAAAATAAAGAGAAGTAGCACATATGAAACGAAAGGTCGGTGAATTACTGCGGAATGTCGATCTATGCCTCGGCTACAAAGTTCCACGTAATAATTTTTACTATAAAATTCTTCCCGCGTGCTGCTGCTCTCCGAGTGAAGAATGCTTGCGCGCGTACCAAGAGAATCAATTCCGCCACAGTTAAAACTGTGTGTAATGTGCACACCACGAAATCAAAGTACAAATTGTTGCGCGGACAGGCGCGATTCAGCGGGGCGGATGTAAGTAGGGCATTGGGTCACCACGCGCCACATCAATGCAATATTACAAGCTTATCCGCGATCTGTGATCTATGAGTTTCTACGTTACGCGCATGTCTCTCGTCCTTACAACCTAATGCATAACGTATCCGCTCTACCGAGCGTCGTTTATGCAGCTTTTATAGCTAACGGTTTTATTGGGTCGTTACAGAATTATATTCCTGTTTGTAGAAATAACGTTATACGTGAATCCTCTCCAGCGGAACTCACACACAAACGCACGTACACACACAATATTAACCATGACGCAACACGCACGGCGCGAGATATCACTTTATTGCATCAGGATACGTACATTTGTGTGTGTGTGTGTGTGTAATGTAATAAAAGGCTTTTTTACATCCGGTTCACTATCTCTAGGTGTTTTAAATTACAGTAAATTACGATAACGATGCGTCACGATAGTGGATAATAAATCTACATGAAGATGAAGTATTTAATATCAAACGAATCACTTTTCAACTTCTGACTGTTCTCTAAATTTCGACATTTCTTGGGATGAAATTTCGCTCGAAAGACAGATTGACAATCGGATCACTTGAATATCACAGTGAATTTTTTTTATTCATATAGAGTGATTATTTCCACTGGAAATTCAAGAATAAATCTGATATGTTTCGTCGTTGCAAGAACAAATCCACTCTAATCGATTGAAACTTCGCTCGTGCACACAAAGTAGTATGTATTACATTCAAGGAAATGTTACCGTGCTTCATGTATTTCATAAGTTTATATACCCACAAATATATTGTAAATTCATTATAAACATCAGATTTAGTTAAAATACCTTCTGAATTCTAGTAAGTTTGGTATTTCAATTAAGAATATTAAATTGAAACAAAAATTCTTTTTTGTTCTTTGCTTACCACATAGAAGTCGAAGCAACATTCTCTTCGATCAAGTCTTATAATATTCTTGTAAAGTAAATAATATTCTTTTTTTTTAATACATGATGAGTTTTCTTAAAATTTGTGATAACTATACTGAGAAAAGGTACTTGAAAATTTATTTGTGAGTTACGAAAAAATAAACTCTATATATCCCACAAACAAATTTTCAAATACTTTTTTCTTAATGTATATTTTAAGATTATTATGAAGAAAATATTTTTTGCTGAAGACAATCATTAAACCATTACTTAAAAGAAGCGAAGCGAAGTGTTGAGCGATCACCTTTCTTAGTAGAATAATGTTTTACAATGTATACGAAATCTAAAGCCCAATCTTGAATAAAATATTCACTTTTCCGATTCCGAGTGGCATTATTTTCACTGAATTAATTCAGACAAATGTTCATTCGTTTTAAGTGATATTTCACTCCAAACAATTTAAGGAGTACGTTTGCAGATAGACGGAAAATCTCTTGAACCCCAACTTGAATTAATTCTCAAAGAAACTGCGGAAGCACGATTAGTATCAAAGTATCCGGTCGCTCGAGAATCACCACGGATTTCGTTTATAGGAATAAGCGTGAATTCCAGGGGAAGAATCGCGAGGTTCCGCGTCACGAAAGGATGCGATGAAATCCGCGACGTCCGGTCGGTTACGACGCGATCCGAGCGGCGTATAAAGCGTGCAAGTACAAAGGAAACAAGAACAGTTAAGGGTTAACGGTAGATGCGAACTATCGCGGGCGGCCTTCCGTTTTCGCAGGCACTCCTAGCTGCCTGCTCCAGGAGGCCACGTGCGCTCGTTGGCCGCGCCGAGAGCGAAGTCGTAAACAGACGCGCGGGCGGATTCGCCAAGAGAAGAGCGCAGAGATCACGAACGTCGTGCAGAATTTTCTAGTAGAAATCACTACAGAATTTAGTACCCGAGGATGTCATATTGACAACCAGCCGCCTTACTGCTCCTCTGTCTCATTTGCACGATCCATACATTAAGGACTGAAGTCTAAAATACTTACAAGTATTTCTTTTAATAGTAATGGTCTTTTAATAGTAATAGTCTTTTAAAGTAATGGTTTAATGGTTGTCTTCAGCAAAAAATATTTTCTTTATAATAATCTTAAAGTATACACTAGGAAAAAAGTATTTGAAAATTTATTTGTGGGATATAGAGTTTATTTTTGCGAAACTTACAAATAAATATTCAAGTATCTTTTCTCAGTCATCTTCAAATTTTAAAATACTTCCAAAGAAAAGATGAACGATTGCTGAAGACAACCATTAAACCATTACTTAAAAGAAGCGAAGTGAACTGAGCGATCACCTTTCTTAGTAGTAGAATAATATTTTACAATGTATGCGAAATCTAAAGTCCAGTCCAATCTTGAATAAAACATTCACTTTTTCTGTTCTGTTTCCTGTTCTGATCAAATCAAAAGTGAACTAACCAATAAAAACTTTACACGGTTATCATAGCCAATGAAATAAAAAACTTCGATTATCCTGATTATTTAGGATAATATAATTTTAATAGTAATATAGTTCAAGACACACACAGGATTATATTATCATCAAAATTAGATATTTTAAGGATATATAATTGTATTATTTTTTATGATATATATCCTTTCTTCAACATACAAAGTATACATCGGAAGAAAAGATATCTGAAAAGTAAAAAATATTTATTCGATGGATACTAATAATATGTTTACTTAAATCTAAATTTTTTTATTTAAATAAAATAAACAATTGCTTTCGTGAAAAAGCTAGAGTTTCAAGAAAACGTACATAGAAAACGTTTTTTCTTTTATTTGAACAATATTTTATATTATTATAAGTAGGGGAGAGTTGTCGAAATCATACCTTAAACTTGTATTTTATCAATCGCACCTAGTTTTCTTAAATCTTTGTAGTACGCATAAAATAAGATATATAATATATTATATAATATAATTATATACAATCTGAATATTTCTTGTTTAAATCTCTCATTGCTCATTTTGTTCTCATTTTTATTGTCAGATATTGTTCATATTCAATAATAATAAAAAAACTGATGAGATACGATTTTATTTTTACGAGAGAGTGGCACGTATTTTTACAACACTCCCCTAAATATGTCTTATTAATATCCACCGAATAAATATTTTTTACATCTTAGGTATTTTGTTTCTCAGTATATGTAATCTTATAAGATTACATATCCTTTTTTGTGGACTCTTTCCAAGAATTTTTTAAAAGTTTCTTGTGTTTTCCTCAGCAAGAATTCTACTGACTGTCTATTCTCGCGCTACTAGAAAATTGCGGCAAAATCGACAGGAATTATATACGAAAACATAACATTCTTTCCGTATGCGCTTTCGGTTGATCGCGCGCCGTTTAATATAGTTCACCTCGCCGTATTTGCCCGGCGAAATCGTTATCGTGGATTAACGCAAACAGCGGAGGATCTGGATCTCTTCGTCGTCTTGGAGTCTCTTCGAGGTGTTCGCGAGGCAATCGCAGCTCTTCACGCGTTTTGCAATTAGCAAGAGCAATTAGCATTTCCCCAAAGCATCGCGCGCGCGTTTCATTACTATCGGTACAGAGTCGTCTTACTTCTTCTTTTATCTTCAGATAGATATGCAGGATGCTCGACTTACGGCGGCCACAAATTTCTCTTCACGAAAATAATATCACAAGTGCGCGATAATTCGTTAGCCGCAACAAAAGGCTTCATCGACTAGGAAGCATGAGGAGACAGCGAATGCATAATTAATAGATTAAACGTCGAGTTGCGTCAGAAATAACTTCCGTTTTTTTCTTTCCCTCGAAATCGAGCTAATACTTTATCGGCTTACTCCGGATGAATGTTCGTAAGAGCAAACTAAGAAAAGATAAGAGTAAAAAAAGAAGAGAAAATAACTGCTATTTTTCCGTCGTAACTTGAAATTGGTTCCAATGTGATAAAAGGATTACAAATCTCTTTCTCTCTAAATGTAATAAAAATTTTAATATAATAAAAATCTTTCTCTAAAATAATAAATCTATCTCTCTATTCCCCTTTCTCTCTTTCTCTTTTAGATTTCTCAATTAATTCCAATCTGGAAAATGTGAAATCTGTCTGAATGTCACGGAATGTCAATTTGGAAAGCGACTGCCAAAATATTTATGTCGCGGGCTGTAATTGGCATGGTACGACAAGTCTCCAGCGACGAGTCTACGGCGTGTCTACGTCTTCATAGAACACAGCTGGGACAACGATCGAAGTTAAATTAAAGGATCCGCGAGCAGCGGATATTATCGACGCGCAGAGCGTGACAGCGACGGTCGAGTGTGTGTGTGCGCGCGGCGCGCATTATGCTTCATCATGTCTGTATCGTGACATCTCATTTAACATTTTGCCCTCGTAACTAAACGCGATTTTAGAGCAGTCATCGCCATGAACGTGATGTCCTGTAAATTTGTCGTATTTATCGCGCAATCAACCCGTCGATTATTCATTCCGAACGAATAACGCACGCGCGCACATGAAGTGGCTTTTATTCTACACGCGTATATTTTGTAACACAGCCATAACAACATCGCGTACAGTTTCTGTAAAGAGATGCGACGAGCGATCCTGGCTTCCCGTTAAAACGTAATTTCCACTCTCATTAGAGGTGGAAAAATTAAAGGGAGAAAATTACGAGAAAGAAAATTATTTTTCTTTTTTCATTTCTCTTTGTTCCCACACTGAGAGAACAAATGTCGAAAGAATAGTAGCTATGTATGTTAAGTACGTGTTAACAATATGCTTACTTTTAAATCTAAATTATCTTATTAAAATGGAATAAACAATTGCTTAAACATAAAGAGCCAAGGTTTTTCCAAGGTCTCAAAAAAATGTAAATTTTTTTATCTGAAAGATATTTTGCGTTAGTATTACATACAGTAAATATATTGTTAATTATCCACCGAAAAAAATAAACATTTCTGTTATTTCTCAGAAATTTCTTGTTGTCTCAGTACGCGAATATTCATACAGAGGAGATTGAGAAGATACGACGACTTTTTCGACGTCGTGCAATCGCAATCGCTCGCCTAACGAGAGGAGAATTCCAACGTCCATTATCATATTCCATACTCCACGGTATTAGTTGCGCACGTCGTAATAGCACGCAGATGATGCAGATATTATAATTCGCTCATTAATGCGCACAAGATGTCTCGATGTTGCGGCTCAAGACGAATCTACTTGTCAGTAAAGGAAAAGGAGAAAAATCATAGGATATCACTGACGCTCTTATTAGCATCACTTTGTCCAAGAGCTAAAACTCTTGAAACAAAACGGCATTCGCTCGTTCCTCTTATTTCGCTCCGTTTTTGGCGTGTCTTCCCCTTCCTGCGCGATCGCGCATCGAAGAAAAATAATATTTTCGTTCGCCGTGCTGCTCGCATCGGCACGCTCGGCGAACGAAGTCCTTACCATGTATACGTGTTCACGCTTCGAATAATGTTTTATTTCTCTTAGTCCATACGCGTGTGTGCATACAGAAGGGAACAGATAATGCGCCAGGCGGTCGGTATCGCCATACGCGCGACGTCGCCGTCGACGAAAGCCGCCGTGCGCGTCTCACGCAAAAGCTCTCCAGCACACACCCTATATATTTCGAGCGAGAAAGATGCAAAGAGGAGGAAAGAAAGCGTCGGGAGTAAAGTCCCGATGATGCGTGCGCGACCCTATGGAGAATATCAGATAATATTTGAGCAGCGGCTCAAAACTTTTCCCTCGCGCAACGGAGAATCCACGGGACGCGAATGCGTGTTCTATTCCTCGCGCGAGATTTCGACTCCATCGACGCGGCGAGGTGATCCGACGACGTGAACGTCATCCGCCGCGACCCTCCGCGAAATTCAATGTTTCAGCCAAAAGGAACGCTGAATTTGGACGGGGACTACGCCGCGAGAGGAGAAGGCGGCAATCTCAGTTCAAATCGACCGAAACGTTCTCGAGCGAAGAGAGGAAAAAGTGGGAAAGGAGAGAGAAAGAGAGAGATAGAGAGGAATTCTTGTCTCATTTATGCAAGCAGCGCAAACTTGATTCGAGGAGTCTCCATTATTATCCCTCTCGACCTCTGTCCGCTGGGGAAAAAAGAACCGCTGCGAATTCACCCCGCGAGTCCCTCGCTGCGTCGCGACGCGGTGAAAGTGGGACACCCGGTACATATCGGCGGACCGCCACGAAATTCGACGGGACGCGGCGAGCATCCGCGAGCTGGGCGACCCGGACTCTTCGCCGTGACAACGGCCGACACGCGCGAGGTCTGATCCACGTATCGGCCCGTGTCCGAATCGCATAGCTGTCATTGACATTGTGCGTACCCGTGTGCGCATTTCGTCCATCTCTTTTTCTCTTTTTTGCTATCTCTCTCTCTCTCTCTCTCTCTCTCTCTCTCTCTCTCTCTCTCTCTCTCTCTCTCTCGCTCTGAGTTTCGCGTCACACATATAGACGCACAGACGCACTCTACCCCTCTCTTTCTCTCCCTCCCTCGCGTTTCTTCTCCGACACACGCGCCAGCAGAGAGATCGACGAGCACGACACGATATGACGACGACGACGACGACGACGATGATGACGATGACGGCCGCAACGATTTCGCGTCTCGAAAATTGTCGCGTCGTCTTCGCGAAAACGATTGACCTCGCGATCGAGGAAAAGAGACAGAGAGAGGAGAAAGAGAGGACGACACCAGATCCCGACGTCGTCTTCGTCGGCGATCGCGTCGACGAGGACGCGACGAGGCCCCCCCGCGGTACATAGGACTGATCAGCTGATTCCTTTGTTTAGGTCGCTGACACATGCGAAAAAGAGCCCTGCCATTTTCAATCGATACTACGTCCCTGCCCCGGGAGCAGCCCGATCGCGGCGCGGCCCCGGCCACGGGACAAGGAACGGGCCCGGACCCGATGACAGAATGAGACGAACGCGTAAAAGCATAACGGACGCGTCGCGCACGTTGGCGCACCTCGCGCGGAGGTCGCGCACGGTGCTCTCTCGCACGTACCTTTGTAATGAACGCGGAGATTGTTTTGCGACAGGCCTATGTAGTTGTACTTGTCCTTCGGGCTCCAAGAGCGCGGTAACGGCGTCTCCTCCTCGTTCACCATCGGATACAGCAACTTCAGCCGATCTATGGGCTGATTCTGCCCCGAATTCGTCCTCGCTGGCTCCATAACACTCCGTTCATCGCTGGTGGCGGCCATCATTGTCATCCACTGCCCCACTCTCTGCCTGCTCCTGGATCGCAATGACGTCGCGCACCTCTCATGCGCAACCTAACACTTGAATAGCCACGCCAGGACTGGGTGCAGCATAGATGAGTGTTCGCCTTTGCGCTCGATGCAGCATATTAAGTCCTCTTTGCATGTAGTGGTACTAATAGTGAGTTCGATCGATTGCACTAGTGCACACAGAGTGCCAACAAGGCTTGTTCATAGTTCATAGTTTATAGTTCATAGTTTTTTTATATTTAGTCGTCTTAAATACATCTTCAAATACTTCTTAGCCAGTGAAATGATTTGTACAACATCCGTACGGATTGTTTTGTTGACTAAAAAGTTTTTGAAAATGTGTTAAGTATAAAAGACAATTTTAAATATAAAAACAAACTTTGAGCACAAGCCTTAATATACATTCAGTGCGCACTAGTGCAAGTATCCGAATTCATTATAAAGCCAGTGGCACACAATGCTTTTTTTCGTACTGGATTGCTTGCTAGATGGAAATATTCTGTTTTAATTACTTTAAAAAATTGACTAATCGATCATTCTCCTCACATTTGATCATGATTAGTCAATTTCTTAAGGCTTAATGTATTCATAGTCAGGTCTTATATTTAAGGCCTCCTTAAGTTCATCTTCAGATGCTCTGCGGATCATTTTATTGGCTACAGAGCATCTGAAGATCTAAAGATGAACTTAAGGAAGCCTTAAATAAAGCTTGACTATGAATACATTAATCACTTATTAGTGTAATTCATGTGTTGTATAAGCATTGTCGAATGTATTGATTGGCTGTCGAATAGAAAATTTCCAAGATCCCTAAAATTTTCTCCCTAACGGCCCCTATAAATTCTTTATCCGACAACCAATCGACGCATGCGGCAAACTTGTCGTACGATACATGAGCTCTGTGCTGGAATTTTGTAACTCATTATTGGAGTTAACGACAGTTTCGTTATCGTTGCGCAGCTTTTCTACGGTATACAAAAACGATAACGAAACTGTCGTTAACTCCAATAACGAGTTATAGAATCTCAGTGCTGTAGCCCTATTCTGTAACTTGTTATTAGAGTTAACGACAGTTTCGTTATCGTTGCGCAGCTTTTGTATACCGTAGAAAAGCTGCGCAATGATAATGAAACTGTCGTTAACTCCAATAACGAGTTACAGAATCCCTAATATATTTTATTTTTAGTTTGGCTGTGTATAGATCAAAATCAATTTATTTCTTTTTATGCAAAATGTACAATTTTATTTATTATTTTATTAGCACGTAGAGTTTATATGTACTAAAAAGTTTAAATAGTGCATTTAATAAATTTTTTTATTTTCTTATCTTTATGTCTAATTATTCCTTGAAAAATGTTTAATTTTCCCGAATGAAACTGCAGCATAAACAAAATGACTGAATAAAACTACCGATGCACGTTGCTTTCCCCTCATCTCGTACACGCATGCTCGCTTCGTTTTCACCCATCCCTTCAGTCCCCATCACGAGACGAAAAAGAAGAATAGCGAGTCCCGGAATCATCTCTCTATCCTTTAGATCTTTGCACGCTGCCTCTTAGGGTAGGGGCCAGGGATACTATTCCGTACACACTTACCGACAACTGTCGGATCGGTAGACGTCGTTGCGCAGCTTTTCTATGGTATAAAAAAGCTGCGCAACGACGTCTACCGATCCGACAGTTGTTGGTAAACGTGTACGGAATAGTACCCCAGTCTATTCTATAAGTCTATGGTTACGCCATACGTTTGGTCGACACCGATTTTCACACTGTTCGATGCGCCATCTGCAACCATTTTTGAGGTGGAACTACGTTCCCTATGCCCATTTTCAAACGCTGCCGATAAAGTGTCGATTTGTTGCGTGTCCATTCTACGCCCATTTTCTGGCGATTCGTGTCCGTGCTAAGCGCATTATTGCGTGGTTAAGAACATAGACAGTCCATGTTCGGGCATAGAATGTACACGTAACAAATCGATACTTTATCGGCAGCGTCTAAAAATGGGCGTAAGGAACGTAGTTCCACTTCAAAAATAGGTGCAGATGGCGCATCGAACAGCGTGAAAATTAGAAACTTGAGTAGAGATTGGACATAACGGGGCTCCGCGTGATTGGTGCACGTAATTTTTGCCCACTAAATGACAGCGCCAACATAAGTAGAGTGAGAAAAAATATACTCGTCTCACTCTACTTATTGCATTAGTGCAGCAGTGCAGCGAAAAAGTACAGACCACGCACTTCTTACGAGCTCACATATTGGCGGCCGCTATTTTGTGGGCGCTTTGTCCAGTCTTTCTTGAAGGGTCTCTAGGGTTGCGTTCGGTTTCACGCATTATATGCGCATTGTCTACAATATACGTAACACGAACTATAGATAAATGCGCACATATGCGTGAAACGGAACGCGGCCTAATGAAAATCGGTGTCGCAATTTTGCTGAAAAGAAAATCAGAATTATAGCACTTCTAGTATTAGAGTGCACCCGGGTAGGGAATCTGAACGTACCCTAATAGGAGGAAGAAAACAGGCGCGGCTCACCGCGCGCGGTTTCTAGTTATTTTACCACGTTCGCGTACCGCGCTACATCTAATTACACCCTAACCTATTTAGGAACGCTGTTGGTAGTACTGACAGTACTTGCAGTAAATAACGGAACGCAACCATACGTTATTTGCTGTATTATCTGTATTACTTGAAAAGTTGTTACTTTGCGTAACACAATCACTGAATTTTTCACGAATAATTAATATGTTCGAAAGAAAATTGAAGGCACTCGGTTATTTTGAATGGGACAAAGTTAACGCAAACAGTGAGTAACTTCTGTCATATAACCTGCAAGACATTTATATTTTTCTATATATATTGCATAATTAATATTTACATATAAAACTGTATCATTTCTTTTAATAATGTATATTGCAATATTTTTTTCTTGACGTCCTTATATTTAGTTAAACATTGAATTTAACAGATGTTAAGTATGGCTTGATCTCACGTAATAAACTTGTGAAATAAACAAATACTCATCAGTAGACATAATGGATATATTTCAGATAATCAACACTTTAGGAAAGTGATTGTATGGTTGGAAGATCAGAAAATACGCCATTACCCAATAGATGATCGTAAGCTATTGAGAGACATTACTTCCTCAGAATGGCCAAAGATATTTGTGAAATATTGTAATGATGTCAACTGTCCAGTAACTACGAATACAATGGATCAATTAGAATGGTTCATAGGATATGCAATTTGGTTAGAGTTTGGAGATGATTGTAAGCATGAATCCATTTGGCATAATGCAAAATCATAAATATAACAGCTATTTACGAGACACAAATTTAGAGAAATCTATTTAACTAAGAAATAAAGAAAAAGAGAATACACTTCTTTAAAAATTTCTTTTCTCTAGAAGGATTTTTCTAGAGAAGAGTTTAACTGAAAAATAGATAATTTGATGAAATATGTAACTTATCCCATTAGGTCCAAAGTATCAAAAAGTTATAGGAAGCAAGGCTAAAGTGACTAATAAGGAAGCTAATGTGCCTAATGTCAAGTCTGTAAATCCTCTAGATAATTTAGATTGTAAGTAAACAAAGTGTAATTGACAACAGTTCATATAAGAATATTGTGTGAACAACTAATTAATATTATATATTTTTCTCCCATTAATTTCAGTCGACAGTAATGCTTTCAAGGTTGGAGTTAGCTCAATAGCAAAATTATTAAGAGTACCGCAACATTCTGACCATCTTGTGACATTACAAGCATGTAGCAAGCTCATATGTAATAAGTTGAATGCAGAGGTTAAGCAACCCACTACCATTAAGGGTAAACCCCTAACGGCAATGGCTGTGGGGCCTGGCTTTAATATGGGCGACAAAATGCTAGACAATGCCGCCAGAGGCCTTTCTTTGCTGTACATTCAGGATCTAAGGAATCTCCAGACAAAGATTAACGAGACGATTGTCGCTGTACAAAATATAACGGCTAATCCGAAGACTGACACGAAGTTGGGAAAAGTTGGTAAATGAAGAACTGGTCCTATGATTTATTTTAGAAAGGCGCCTTCAATATTTTCCAACGAACAATATAATAGACTGTATCATGAAATCAGAAGAATATTCTGGAGTATATATACGTGTCGGAAATTTGTATATCGTCAAATAATATCCGTCGTAATTGTAATGTGAGCATTATTAATTTATTTCTACACTGTCGGCACGTCAAGTTTCCGAATATGTCAATTTTGCAAAGGAATATGATGTAGTGTTTATTGCTCGCTCTACAGAATCGATATTTTTCACGTGTTATCTAAGCACATCAGGTATCACTGTAACAAAGAATACTCAGCTTGTGCAAAAATAAAAACTATCCTGTTAACTTATTTATACTCCATAAATAGATTTAAAAACATTTGAGTAATAAGTCACATCACATCAGAGTATAATCTTGTTAATTTATTTAAAAATCAGTGCACAGGCGAAATTTGTAAATCGTGAAAATCGTTTCGTGTTTAAAGTTGTTAGTCGCGAAATATATGATCGTATCTAAATAAAATTCACGTCAACTATATCGCGAAAAATATATATTTTTTAAAAGAATAAATTATGAATTTATTTAATATACATATATCATGTAAAGGTAAATTATTCAGGTAAATGCATTTGAAATCCATTTGGTTTTACCTTGTCATTTTTTTCCAAATTAATACCTTCGCTACCTGCGTCACACAGATGTGACGCACCAGTCTCTCACTTCAAATTTATCTTTACTCAAAATTTTCAATTTTACTTAACATGGTCGCTACCAATGTTGCATATGTATGACATTTTTCTTTGTATATTCATATACAAAACAAATCAAATCTGTTTTACATAATTACATAAAAATAAATATGATATGGTCTGTGGAGAGAATTCGCCAAATAAACCGTGGTGACGAACATGTTAAATAATTAATTGATGTATATAATTTTAATATAATAATAAATGGTAACCGAAGGTTTTGAGAGTAGATTAGGCCAATATAACGAAAGAACTGTCTCGTACTTCCATCTTATTGGCCTTATACTCTAAACGCATTACAGAGAAGAACTATCGTATATATGTTACACATACATTTTCATATAAACGCATATCTCTACGAGTTAAGAATGATTGTTAGAAAAATTATGTCTCATCACACAATCACATCACATCAGATAATTAATATGACGGAATTTTTTATATAAGCATATCTGTGTGATTGAACATAAGCCATAAAGTATGTATATAATGCCAATAAAGAGACGTGATCTCTCTTGTAAACGCGTACATCGCGTTCGTCAATGTATTTTTACGTAATGTATTTTATGTAAGATTACCCGCTTGCGCGCGACTCCTTGATTTTATTATCGGTCTGGTATTCACTAGAATATACTAAAATCCGTTAAATATAAATTACTACATTATATGTAAGAAGATACGAATATGGGAATGTGTGTGTATAATAAATTATGTTTTCTTACATACTCGAATTGTTGAGAAAAGTTTTGTGTAGAGATACTGGAAGGCGACTTTTTATTCATATCCGCGCGAGTTAAAGTACTTTTTCGCGAAGATAGAAGTATCACAATTTCTTTATGTGCTAGAGAGACAACCTTCTCCATCTGGAACGTGTATAACGGCTGCGCGGGAGTAGTAACAAGTATCTCTTGCTTTCCAGTAGCTCTGATACATTATAGGCGAGTATAATATAACAATACTAACAAATCTTAAAATGGTAAAAAGCGTATTTCTATGTACATATTATCGAGGATTGTATCATCATTCTCTGATTTCTTTTTACTCTTAAAAGCATATTATTCGTTTGTAAATATAAACGTGTAATAGCAAGCACCATGCATTTGCTATTGGCTGTGTTTCGTTAACTGTCAATGTATTCGTACATTATACAATATATATTCGTCACTCAATATTTCTTTATTGTAATTATCTTAAAAACTCCATATGCCTCCTTAAAAACGCAATGCCTCGTTATTCGTTTTTCTAAAGAAGGAAAATGTCTCATTATATTTATACTAATGGAATTAAGTAATCTAAAGGGAACTGAGTGTATGTACGTATGTGTGTATCGTAAAATTATATATATTTATAAAAATGCGACACAAGATTGAGTTATCACAGAATTTGTGAATATCAGTTTCGTCAATATCAATGTGGCGTCTTGAGCACGACTCGTACACCCTATCTATTCTCTCTTTTCAGTATCATGAAGGATTTTCATAAGAAGCCTGTGATGTGATATGTTCAAGTACGATTTCTATTTTGAGACTTTGCTTAATTTATTATGTGAACACTTAAATGTCATACAATTTACACGATTTCTTCCTGTCATCACAGTTTTGGATATCACGTTAGAAATCCAATTATGTATATCTCATTTTGTTTATTGGAATCTCACCGAGATGAGAATGAGACACGTAGTAATATAATAACGATTGTAATCGTTAAAATAATAATAACGAAATATTCTTTTCTCGGATGCACATCATCGAATTAATAATTGACAATTTATAATTCTATTCAAGACAATATTTCAAATGTACGTATCTGTATTATATGAAAATCTGTATAATATTTATTGTTGAAAGCAGTTTCTAAAAAGCAAGTCTATTATATAGAAATGCCAATAAGCATAATTTGAAATAATTTAAATATATTCTCTATGTATTCTTTGTAGTATTAAAGAGAGATAAGAAGAGATTTTTTTTAATCAGCGCATATTCTAATGTAGATTATGCTTGATCTACTTAAGGCACTCTATACTGAAGCTTCATCGTGTAATACATTATCAGAATCATTACGAGATAGTTCGGCAGAGTATATTTTCTGGCTGTAAGCCAGGGTGGCGATTCTCAACGTCATGCGAATGAGATGTGCATACGAAAATTCTATAGTTCACGTTACGTATATCATAAATTTTCGCATGCGTACTTCATTCGCACACCGTCAAGAATCGGACCCCAGATCTTAGTTTTACAACTTCACCATCTTGATGAAGACGATCCATTCGTGACATGGAAAAGAAATTTGAATTACATGAATGATTTGTACTGGCAACTTAATACAAAGTTCTATACAAGTATTATACGAATACCTCTGGAACAGGTGCTTTGATTGATATATCATACAGCTTTAAACACTTCAAAATACTCGAATCTTATGCGTATCGAGTCCAGCTGTGATTCATGTAAAGCTCAGCTTTACTTCAAAACTCTTAATTTGACTTAAGGATCCCAATCAATAAGAACAATGTAATGTGCTTAAGTAAAAAAGTGAGCAATTTCATAAACATGTAACTTCTGTATACATCACGGTAACAGCAATTGCACGCATAACGATACACAACAGCACATAACCAACATAAACAAATGTCGTAACAGATGGTTATCCGAGTTTAAAACTTTTGTGCTATATTCGCGCGTTTCCTCGCGCAATAAATTATAATACGCGTCTTATTTGACTCTGGCGGATTTGTTGGGAAACTAGGAAAGAGAGTTGTTTTCTTTTTTTCTTTCTTTCTTTCTCTCTTCTCTATAACAGTATAAAATAACATGTAGATGGTTACGAAAGTCTACACCTATCTCTGTTTCCAGAAGGCACTGGTTGTAATTCCCGTCTGCTCCTCTCCTCGTCCTGCATGGATGCCTGGAGGGCTCTAGCTAACGCCTCGTCTTCGCTCATCGTTCCTTGAAGCCTGCGAAACGAGTTGCCGTTACCGCTGCTCTGCGACACCGTCGTCTGAGCTTTCTTGTTCAAAGATTCCAGTCTGCGCAATCTTAACGCCTCCTCTGCCCCGATGCAAGCGTGATCGGTGGGGTGTCTGTGCTTGAGGCAGAAATTTTCACCGCACTCGCTGCACTTAACTTGTACCATCTCCTTGACCTTGCATCCCTTCGATGAACACTTATTGGAGAATATCTTCCCACGATTCTTGCCGAAGTCCGCCTGACAATCATTGTCCATGTGCGATCCCACGGCCAAGTCGGGCGGGTCACCGCGTTTTATCGGTATAGGAACGTTGCACAACGGGCATACAGGCACCTGCATGTCCTTCTTGTACGCACTGGGGCAGCTGTGACTTGTGTATGTGATGTGATCCGTGCAGAAGATCTCCCCGCAGGCGTCACACTTCAGTGGTAAGAAGTCCAAGCGGTTGCAGGTACTCTCTGAGCAGTGCTCTCCTAGGTTTGGAAACTCCATCTCGGTCACCCTACGATATGCTTTGTAAGAGATTTCTGTAACAGCAGTGTGACAAATGGATTAGATCGACAATCCTACTTTCTGCAGGAGATTATCTTTGATAATTTTGAGGACTGAAGATATAAGCCCTATTCTTTTCAGCTGAACTGAGGTAAAAATTTTGATTTTTAAATATGAATATTTAAACTTCCAACACAAAGAATATGCACTCACACACACACACACACACACAATATATATATATAGAATATAAACAATACATGCATATACTCTACAACAATATTCAATACATGCATATACTCTATATTGAAAGATTAAATATTCATATTTAGAACCCAAAACAATAAGAATGTTCAGGATTACATATGTATACAAGCATTAATGCTTTTATCTTAATATTGAAATAGAATTTTGTTCCTTTCCCTTTCAATGCTAGTTTATATACTTGTTTTATTCTAAAGACAAAAATTGAACTAAAATAAAAGTACCAATACCTGGACATATACCTAACTCTGGACATTCTGATTGTTTTGGTCTTTAAATACGAACATTTAAATTTTCAATATAGAATATGTATATTCTATATTGAAAGTTTGAAATCAGGTTTGAACCAGGTTGAGCTAAAAATAGACTTCTGATTGACAGCATATGATCGTCAATTTTGAAGATACTGCAAATCTAATTTACAGCGTACGAGCGACGTGGTGAATTGTGCGACGACATACCTTGACTCAGCCAAAATGAAACTACTCGTGATACGTGTTTCTGCGTGTTTTCCCGTTGACGTGACGAGACTTCTCTGAAGTCTCTCTTCCGTATCGCACAAATTTACGAATTCAGACGTCGCTAGAATTTACGAGAAATTTTCTTGTATATTCGGCAAAGGATCCACCAGAGGACAAACCCGACAAAAACTCCACACGGCAACAATCGTATATGTCATACACTGATGAGGCAGCACGTGTACCTCTTTTATATATCCTTGCGTGGTGGTGGAAACCGATGACCAACGATGATTGACGATTTTCAGTCTTGCATATCCCTCGGAGAATATACTGGAATATACTAGAATGTCATCGAGATTAGGAGGAAGCAGAGATGAAAAGAGAACGATCGAGGGTGACGCGAACGCGACAGTCGCGTTTTATGCGGAGGCGCGAACAAATCGAAACACCCGCGAGACTCAAACGCGGATATGTTTGACAGAATGAGATTTGAAAGCTGTCATTCATCAGGGGCTGTTATTCGCCGTATTCTTGACATATATTCTTGACATATTCGAACACTGAGTACGCTTTTTCGATTTTCAAGCTAAACTTCGTTTTACGGGATGCTCATATAAGAAAAACAGATTCAAAAAGATGTCCTTAACATTCGAGTATGCGTCAAGAATACAGCCTCAAGAAATTTCGCGTAAAAGAAACTTCAGAAACGCGCACACAGCGTGAAAATGTCGTTCCCCATCAAATTTACCTCGGCGGATTTTTCTCGGCAGTTTTTTCGCTTCGGATCGTCGTATACTCGTGTCATTCTAATGATGTCGGAAAATGCGCTGCAGAATGTATTATTTATATTTACAAATATTTATGTGACGGATCATGTTATTTCTACACTAAAGTCGCTCTAATCAGAGTTTGGCTACAACGCACGGTTTCGTCAAAATCCTGCGAGAAAGAGAGACATATTTTCAATCTCTCTCTTTGTCTATCTTTTCTTAATCTAATCTAACCTAAGCTACTGCCATAGAATTTAGCTCGATCCGATATCTTTTGGCTGCGCAAATCGGTTAAAGATTTCAAGTTTTAAGTTGAGAACAAAAAATTAACGATCTTATTGTATTGATTTGAGACAATCTGATTTATATTGGATGGCTTTACGAAATCACTTTACATTACAAAAAGGTCAGAAATTTATGATTAAGGATCTTAGTGCATGTGTAGGGGATGTCGGATGGATTGCTAAAAGTCTTAATTTTGGCCAATGTAAACGGAATTCACAATATTGGCAATTGCGGGCGAGATTTTTACGAATTAGCATTCTTCATCGTGATAATCGTTTTATATAATTGTACAATTTGCGCTCTCAGAACTGGACGGTAAGAAATGCGTGTAGCGTTATTCGAACTGCTTTTCTGAGTTTATTCGAAACATAGCGTTCAGAGTATTTAAAAGTGGATCGTATCCAAAACTGATCGATGATGTCATCTTTTTTTTCGATTATCTTCAGACTCTCCGGTCTTTAATCCCAACAAACAAGATAACATTAAATGACGTCTTATGCCCATTTTTACCATCTCCGGTTACCTTAACTACTGGTTAAATGTGCATGATTGGTGATTGGTTAATCTTGCTAAATGATAAGTGCGATTGGTCAGTTCCAACGGAATAACTAGCCGGTTAAGATAACCGGAGGTGATGAAAATGACGTATTATTCACGTCTCTAACGTCAATAATACGTCGTTAAGATGTCATTTGACGTCATCTTGTTTGCTGGGATAATAGGCCTGTGCTGGGATTCTGTAACTCGTTATTGGAGTTAACGATAGTTTCGTTATCATTGTGCAGCTTTTCTACAGTATACAAAAGCTGCGCAACGATAACAAAACTATCATTAACTCCAATAACGAGTTACAGAATCCCAGCACTGGGGCCCTATTCTTGAAATAGTTGCGTATACATAAGTTTTACTGCGCAGGTTTAATGATACTATAAAATAGCTGCGCAATGAAACTTACGTATACAAATTACGTATTAAAAATTTCAAAAATATGGGCCCTGTTCTTTGTAGCTGTACTGCTAAACTGATGCAATATATAAATAAAGAGTTATATATATATATATATATATATATATATATATATATATATATATATATAAAGAGTATATGTATATATAAAGAGTTGGTCTGTTCCTTTCAGCTGCTGAACCGATGCAATAAGTTAGAGTGAGAAAACATATGTTTATCTCACTTTAACTTATTGCACCAGTTCGGCAGTGTAACTGAAAAGAACAGACCATGAGACAAATATACGTTTTCTCACCTAACTTATTGCACTAGTTCAGCAGTGCAGCTACAAAGAACAGATTAATACGCAATTCACAGAGCCGCTTTTCCTCGTTTAAATCGCGCGCTCTAGAGACGCAGGACTAGCAGCATTGTGCGGCTAACTTGTCGCCGCTCGCCGTGTAACACCATCATACGGTGATTCATCATTCTCTGCCGACGGTGACGCGCGTCTTCGACGTGACAAGAGCCAGAGGATAGACACTTGACCTGAAAATTAAGCTAATCGCGACCTGTCAACGTCGTTTTCGAATCGATTTCCAGCCCGGGAGCGGTCGGTCTCTATCTCCGTCGCCGTTGAGGAGTGGCGTGCGTGGCGATCTTGCCAACTGTTTCCGGTAGCGGGGCGCCTCACCGCAAGGTGACGTTTGCGGGATCGTCGTCCCTGAGGTGTATTCTTCAACGGAGATCTCTGTCTACAGGAAGGAGAGTATAAAAGGCTGCGGACATCAGTCCGACAGAACATTTGTTTTACATCAACGTCTGCCACGAGGCTAAACGGTAAGCCAAAAACGTCATTTGACAGATCGCTTGCGTCACATTTTTCGACATCGCGTGATAGTACATACTCGGTTCGGGTAACCACGTTGCCGCTGTTCTATTTCTAACAATTATTTCTTGCTGTTTTCAAGGTTTACCGCGTTCTCGTGCTCGTTTCTCACCGAGGGAGGCAGAAAGAACAAGAAAGACAAGCAGAGGGAAAAAAGAGGAGCAGGAAAAATGGGTCTCACGATCAGCAGTCTGCTCACCCGGCTGTTTGGCAAGAAGCAGATGCGAATACTGATGGTGGGCCTGGACGCTGCCGGCAAGACCACTATCCTGTACAAGCTGAAGTTGGGTGAGATCGTTACCACCATACCTACCATCGGCTTCAATGTGGAGACAGTAGAGTACAGGAACATTTGCTTCACTGTGTGGGACGTGGGTGGCCAAGACAAGATCAGACCTCTTTGGAGGCACTACTTCCAGAACACCCAGGGTCTCATCTATGTGGTGGACAGCAATGACCGTGAACGCATTGCTGAGGCAGAGCGTGAGCTAGCGAATATGCTGAAGGAAGATGAGCTGCGTGATGCAGTGCTGTTGGTGTTTGCCAACAAACAAGACCTGCCCAATGCCATGTCTGCTGCTGAACTCACCGACAAGCTTGGCTTGAACTCGCTACGTGGCCGCCACTGGTACATACAAAGCACCTGCGCCACCCAAGGACACGGCCTCTACGAGGGTTTGGACTGGTTGAGTAACGAGTTGGCCAAAAAGTGATAATGTCTCATCACAACCATTATTCTTAAGGACAACTTCTCATTCATCCGAGCATGGACGTAGAGAGCGAACGGAGATTCACTCGGTTTCCATCTTTGTCAAATTGTATGTCGATTAACGTCCGACACGCGTACAATTTGCCGCCGCCGCCGCCGCGGTGACTGCGATCATTCACGCGAGTCGATGCGAAAACGAGCAGCCACACAGCCTTGCTCGACCGCTTCTTTCTTTTCCCTGTCTCTCGTATACCATAATAGGTCTGTCCGCTTTCGAAAAATTCCTAACCAGTGCACATTAGTGCAATTTAAAGTATACTTGAAAGAAAGTATACTTGTTTCATATACTTGTTTCGTAACTTATTGCACCAGAAGTTCTTCGAAAACAAACAGACCTAATAGCTACATACAGCAGAGAAAATTGCAATTTTGCAATTGTTGTAAAATTGTTTAAATGTGACTGATACTCGTCCTGAAATTCAACCAAGATTAAGAGCACACGCTGATAAAATTCATTAATTTTACAACAGTTGCAAAGTAGCTTTCTCTACTGAACGCAATGATTCACACTTTTCGTGATCCGCGAGCGCACGCTATTGCGCTCTCGTTTCGTAGAAAAGAAGGTGGGAATCGTTACGTTATAACCAGGTATTCTTACATCATCTACAGGAACTGTACATAGTTCTAGGTTTCTTCGAATATATTTCTTTGCTCATTGAATTCCTGATTTCTGTTGGTTGTCAGTTTAGTAAATGACGAAGCGCCACTTCTGTCGGCCACGAAAGATCTATTTATTATTTATGCGTTGTTATTGCACGAAGAACCGGAGCTGAATGAACACGATACATTCGTTGTCCACTGCTCTACGTCCGTGCTACTCTCATCGGGAATGACATACTATGTGATGTTACACGCGCAGGTCGTTTACACTGTCTTGTTCTTCGAATAAATAAGTGAATTTCGAGATAAGTAAAACGTTAGCTGGTAAGACTTGTACGAATAAGTATTTGATTATTAACTTTAATATCTTTCAAAGGAAATACAAAAACTTAACCGAAGTTGCTTGTGTCGATTCTTCTTTCAAATAAGGCCACGCGCTTAAGTTGTAAGAGATGTGTTTAAAGATGATTGTCACAATAAAATTTAAAGGTAAATATAAAAAAGGGCCAAATAGACAGATCTCTCCAAAGTCTAATCTCTCAGATTCACACTGAGACTCGAAACTTGTCTCACGTGAAATGCTCAGATTGCAATTTAAAGCTGGATTTGTGGTCTTCGGTCGAATTGAGTAATATAACATTGTAGGTTCTTTTCAGAACTAAGTTGCTTTTTTTGCAACCGTGAGTTTTGTGCGCTAGAACAAAAGTTTATAATCTAACAGCAAAAAGAAAAGGAACAAAGTTCTAGTGCAGTATTAGTTCAATAAAAAAAAAACGGACCTTATGTTTATAATTATAGTTTACTAAAAAAAACCACATGACTTTAAATTCAAGTATCTCACTTAAGATAAGTTTCAAGTAACACATCAAGGATTATTCATGAGTGTCAAAAGCTGCGTTCGGCATTGTAAATCGAAGACTTCGGATTTTACCTCGAAAATGCACAAAAGTGAGAGAGATACGAGATCTCGTATCTTTTTCATTTCTATAAATCTTCGAGATGAAAGAACAATTCAATCTTCGATTTACAATGCCGAACGCAGCTAAACTTTCGAATCCGGAGTCTTTTCGCAAAGTCAACGTGCGTGAGCATATCATTCTCGCTCTCCGTGTAGTCTCCGTATTGTGCGGGAAAAGCAGGCAGGATCAATACTCGCTTGCCTTTGATAAAATTAGTATTGTCATTAACTGAATGTACAACTTTATTATAGTACAAAACAGTACAGTATATAGTGCTACAAGTACTGTATAATGTATCAAACGATTTGTTAATGTATGGTGTTACGGTATTCATACGACCACGGCAATCTATTTCACTTCTCTACTTCAAGAAACATGGCAAATAAATTACGGAAGGTACGCTGCTGCTATTTACGAACTGTATATACAATACGGTATCTTAAAATACAGCGGAAACGGAGAATCGTTGAAACGTAGCTCGCGCGCATTTTTCCTTTTCCTTCACAACGTGTAACAGACTTTGTATTTGCATCTTATCCTCTCATAAAGTTCGTTATACAAAAAAATATCTCATCTGTGTCAACGCGATGTGATCGCATTGCTGAGCGTTATTACATCATTTAATACAACCGTCTGTAAAAGCTCTGGTGTATACATATTTATATGTCTATATATATATATATATATATAATTTTTTATTAGCTTATAAATATTTTTATATATATATATATATATATATATATATATATATATATATTTATATATATTCTGAATATATATATTTAATGTATATATATATATATGTGTATATATATATATCTTCATATTATATATACATATATATATGTATATATAATTTCAATAAATCAATTGAACCTTCAATTCGCTCAACGTTAAACTCTACTGCGAATAATGGGCGCTAGCTCTACGCGCGAATTTTCGTTGCGACGCTAATGTGATGATTGACTCTCGGAATAAGTTTACCATTCGCATTACGTATCGGACAAAAACGGCTCAATGAGGATTACTCGAACGCGACAGTAGAAACAACAAGAGCGATATATTTACAACAACCGTTTCAATACATACCACCTATTCCACCAGAGTCTCTGAGAGAAACGATCGACGTGACGAAGGAGAGGAACCGAGAGAAAGAGAGAGTGGGAGAGAAAGAGAAAGGGTGCGCGATTGGCTCATTTACGCACCCACGTGTTCTTCAGCGGCGGCGTGTTGCTCTTGCCGAGTGCCGGGAAATGATTCTCCAGCGTGTGACTGGACATGTGCGTGCGAAAGTCCGCACCGTTCTTGACCACTTGGTTGCAAGTCGCGCATACCTCCAAGCCCTTCGTCTTGCCGCCCAACTCCCTCTTGTGCACCTTGAACAGCTCCTGCTGCTTCACAATGTCTGGCAATAGGACCAATAGCTCGGGGAACACGTTTTCGAAGGCGTCGCTGCCCATCACCTCGCGACAATGCGTGTAGTACTCCTCGGCGTCGCAGGTACCTCCACGAAAGAGACCGCTCACGTAGCGGAACTTGTCGATCTTGTCCTGTTGCACTAGCACCTCGTTCAACCGTGCCACCAGACAAGTGTTGCGCTTCTGAAAATCGGGCGGTGGCACATAAGCATGACTGGTGTCGTCTGGCGGCAAGATGGAGTAACTTTCACCGGAGCTGCTAGTGAACGTCAAGCCGTTGCTGCCGTGCAACCGCTCGAGGCTGTTGTACTTGATGGAAAAGCCTGGCGGCGGCGGCGGCATCGGCGAGCCGAAACCAGGAGGTGGGCTGGCGAAGCTCGCTAGTTTGTTGCTGCTACCTAAAGCGGGGAAGTCTTCCACCTTATGGATGTTATTGTTGGTCGTGTTGAGGCTGTCTATCTTGAGCTCGCTACGTTTCCTCTGCACTCCGTTCGCCGACGCATTGCCACCACAATTACCGTTGCCACCGGCGAGTTCCGTATTCACGAGCGTTGTGCTTGAGCTGCCGTTATCCGCGTTACTTTTGTTCTTTTTCTTATCTTTTTTACTAGTGTGTTCCGTTTGCGAGTTCTCCCTCGAATTTTTGGGCGCGTTCTCGTTACTCGTATCGTGAGCAGCCTGTGAGTTCTCCTTGGGCACACGAGAGTCACAAGCTCGTGTCGATGACGGCTCAACATCTTTCTTCGCGACGAAGGCGTTCGTGTTCGATTTGGAGCTGTTGGACTCATTTCCACTCGAGTTGTTGCCATTAGAAGCCTGTTGTTTCACTTTTTTCTTCTTTGTCTTACCCTTTGTTTGATCTGTCATTGTTTTCGCGTTATTATTATTGTTGTTTTTGTTGTTGTTACCACCGGAAGTATGCGACGACGAGTTCTGTCCCCAGGTCGGCACCACCGTGATCACTGACTGTTTCTTCGACTTTGACGACTTCGAGAGGCTCGGGAAGTCTTCGCCAGACCGGATAGGCGGCGACGACGACGCCAAGGGTGGTGATGCGACCTTCTTAGATTTCGCTGCACTTGACGGTGCTGATTTCGAGCAGGTCCACTGCAAAACTTCTTTCCATTGAGTGGAATTGGCAGTACTAGTAGACGGCTCGAAATTGCCCAAGGCGGGGAAGTCGGAGTCTATGGACAGTTGAGCGGGACGTATCCTGATCGGTGCGACCATTCTGGTGGTGACGGTGCCGTTGGCAGTACTGGTAGACGGCTCGGAATTGCCCAAAGCGGGAAAATCAGAGTCTATGGATAGTTGAGCGGGACGTATCCTTATCGGTCCGCATACTCTGGTGGTGACGGTACCGTTGGACTCGTGGTTCACCTGGATGGAGACATTTGATGACGTCGAAGCTTTCTGGCACTGCGGTATGTTAGCACCCGCAGCGTTGCTGCCGCTGGAAACGCTAAAGTTGACCGTTTTCGAGATACTAGGTCCAGCAGAGTCCGGGCCCAGCGCTGGAAAATTCTCGTCTGTCACCGCGAGCGGTTGATTCCTCACGGTGCTGCGAATGGTTACATTCCCACGGCCCTTGGTCTGCGTCAGCGTAGGGACGACAGGAGCAGCGTTACCCAATGTGGGGAACTCGTCGGTGCTCTGTACGTCAACGGACGGTTGTTTTACGAAGAATGGCGGCTCGAACGATGAGCTGGGTCCGCTGGCGGTTGTGCCCTGCTGCTGCTGCTGCTGTTGGTGATAATCCCTGCCGTTATTATAGTGCTCCCTCGTGTTTCTCGACGTCGACGCGCTCAACATGCCGCGTCTGTTCATTCGGTTATCGCCGCGCGGCGCCAAGGTGAACTCTAACTCTAGTGTTCTTGCCTGCTTGGCAGCGGCCTTGCTCAACTGCTTGCCATGGACGCTGGCCTTGTGGGCCTTCAGATCTATGTCCGTCCGGAACACACTCGTGAACTTCTCCTCCGCGCACATGCCTTCCTCGCACAAATAGTGCTCCTGCCGGAAGTGGTCTCTGAGGTAGTCGTATGAACTATAGTACTGATGCAGACCGTCCGCGTCGCAGAAGTGACAGTACAAGTGATCGCGTCGCAGATGCCGATAGAGCTCGTCGTTGTCCATATAACGCTGATCGCAGAACTCACAAAGGGGATGACCTTTGTGGCTTTTGTCGTCGAGGTCGCCTTTCCGCCGATGCTGGGCCAGACTCGCTCTTGTGTAACAACGTCTCTCGTGGGAAAATATCTACATTCAAGCACAGACAAAGACAGTTATCATCGATTAACAGACACAAATAAGCGCTACTATTCATTCACTGTTTGATTCATTTGCCGTTCAAAGCAAACACTAAGTGTATCGCGATATAGAATAGTAATAATAGGGGAAAAGATGAAATAGACTGGTGATATGAAACAAGACTGATCTCTTAAGCAATTGTGTTGTGATCTATCAATAACTGAAATAAACATAAACATTATGGTCCTCTTATCGGCCACCAAAAGACGCTGATGGCTTGACACCACTATTACATTGTTCATAGTGTTAAGAGAAGCTATTTTGTTCTCTTTATATTAAAAATTTTTGCAAGGTAGGATTTAAACACTTTTTCCCTGTCTTAATTGATAAGTCTGATATATTAGTTATAGTGTGTTGATTAATAATGAGATTAAACTTCAAAGTTGCCAAATTAGTTATTTGAAAATGTTTTTCTAACTTTGAGACTTAAACTTGATTTACAATTTATTTACTTCTTGTTTCTTTATCTCTTTCTGACTCACACTTTAAGCCTTAAACTAAAAAAAGACAAAGAACAAGAGGAACCAAAGAGCACATTGTAGAGCACATTTAGGCTTTATTAAGTTTCTTGAAAAATAGCGACAGGTAGTAACTTGGAATGTGTTTAATGAGTGTTCTTTATGCAGTGGCTGATATGTAAAAGTGATGATTTTATTTGTAACTTCTGTTTGTAGAGGCATAGGATTTCTATATAATTTGAATTATTGAGCTAAATTACTTTAATTTTCATTGCAAATTTTTTTATTTTTATTTTTAACTTATGATTTTGATATTCAAAGGAGTTCAATAAAGAAAAGTCATGTTTTAACATCAAAAACTTTGCCTCTTCAATTCTTATTGTTAGTTATCAAAAACTTTATAATAATAATAAAAATAATAATAAAAACTGTTTTCTTTTTTATTTTCATATCTGTTTCATATTACTAAACCATTTACCAAGACCCCATTTCTTGTATTATGTTAACAAAAATTTAAATAGTTTATTTTTCTTCACTAATGATCACACACATGTGTACGTATACATTATGAAATATATTTACTAATACTTTTGTTGGTTATTGAGTGAATTATTGCATATAATATTAGATTTCTTATTCAAAACAAAAAATAGTCTACATCTGCACCTTCTTCCCTAACTGACTAAAGTTCTAGGAATAAGATCAGAGAGAATCAGATTTCTCTAATATTGCATTTAACATTATTAAATAACATCTATTACATAACAAAATATAGAGTTAAAAAACAGAGAAAGAATGAAGAATGGTAAAGAGAAGATAATGTATCTTACCTTTAAATTTTCTACACACAAATCACAATAATGCAGCTCGTGTCGATGTCGCATGTGGTCCTTTAAGCTACTAAAATTACTAAACACTTGCTTCTCCTTGCATATCGAGCATGTGTTGGCTAACAGATCATTGAATTTCTCTTGGATGTCGGTACTACCAAAATAGATGGCATATTGGTTATCCAACAGATCACCTTTACATAAATAACGAAAAGGCTTGATCTCTCGCGTGAACACAACTTTTGGCAGATCCTGGCGACAGATAGGACACTCATTCTGTTGGCAGAGCACCCTCATCCTCGTGCTGCACTCATAACAGACTGGATGCTCACACATGCCAATACTGTAGATTTCCACATTCTTGTAACACACCACACAGGTGTTGCTATTAAAACTATCATTAGTTCCCGACATTCTAATTGCAGTAATAAAAATCCCTCCCAATTGATTGTCTCTGCTTCCACAATGGAACTAGTCACTGTTGTTCAACTGTTGTCTCTCCAAATGTCATCAAGTGAGGACTACCTGTATCAAATAGAAGCTTCCTTCAGACGAGGTGTTTTCCTTGATTGCTCTCGGGCAGTTCTATCAACAGACTTGACTTCCTAAAACAGAGCACAATAAAACACATGAAAACAGCGCGTATTTGAAAGGCGTTGCATACAGTAAAGTGAGAGACAAAGAAAGAGAAAGGAAATCCCGTGCAATCGCGAATTGCTCGCTCGGAAATAGTGACGCGTGTCGCTCACACAATCGACGTCACACGACGCAATCTTCGAAAATACATCCGGTCGTACCGAACCAAGAGCTAATCCGCTTCCTCCGACTCGCGTTTCGACTCGGTTGATTCGTTTCTTCTCTTCCTCTTTGCGGCCTTCCGCGACACGATCTTCCGAAAATAGACAACTGCCGCACGGCGAGTGCGAAATTGGCAGCGGTTGCAGCAGATGGCAGAATTTCTCACGGTGGCGGTGGCAACGGCAACGGCGGGCGAGGTTATCGGGCTGCTTCTCAAGTGTCACGACGACCACGACATGCCGCGTGGACGCGAGCGAAACAGCGAATGATCAGTTGGTCGGTCGATCGGGCGTTTCGGCCGCGCGGAACGGAACCTCGTGCGCGAGTATGAGCGAGGGAGAAAAAAGAGAGAGAGAGAAAGACAGAGAGAGGAAAATAGAGGAGAACGACCGACCTCGTGAAGGAAAAGGCCACCGGAACACACTACCTGCGGCCGTGTTCTGCGCATACCGTGTCACCTCGGCACGGCGGGGACAGAAAGCTCGACGGGAAATACCAGCGCAGGTCCGAAAACAGCTCTCGATATTGACACTGCTTGCGTTTGACACGTTCTGCCCTTTGAGTGGAGATAACGCTGTAATGCTTCAACCTCTTCCTCTCCCCCGCCCTCTATGCCACTCGTTATTCATCTATTATTTTTGGAAGGATGGAAAGCGCGTATCAGGCTATCGTAATCTATCCATCTGTCACATTGCTACGTTCTCTCGACAAAACGTTATTGTCGATCTGCCGTTTACCGACGCTCGCATATTTCGTCATTCGCTACAAAGCTGGAGAATTGCATGATTTTTCGACGCTCTGTAACTTAATGACAATGTTATCTATTGGCTAAAGAAAGCTCCTGGAATTTGGAACCGAGATCTGTCGAGAATTGTCAAATAATAAATTTCGATAAGTTTCTTAATCTGCCATTAAATATATTATTTGAAAATGGAACATGCACTATTTGAAAATTAGCAAATCAGAGGATTTTTCTCCTCGACTACGAAAGATAAGTGGAATTTAACGTGTTATTCTCGCGAAAATAAAACTCTTACGCATTTCTCATAAAAGCAGCTTTTTGATGTAAATAGTTAACTAAATAATAACATTTAAAAAAAACGAATGTTTGCTATCCTTTATTTAACACAATATATCTTGACGGCAAACGACGACAAAAATATAATATTAATATCTTTAAAAACTAGAGATTTCAAACTGCAAAATGCTTTTCAAATCGTCCACATACACAGATCTTGCAGCAACATTGCGGCAACACTGTTGCAACTTTTAACATTGCTGCAACGTTGCAGCAATATTGCTACAAGATCTGTGTTGTATAGGTCACAGAGCATTATTTTTATAAAAATTAGAGCCCGTTGAGGCTCTAACTTTATTTTATTTATTTTTCAGAATGGATAAAAAGGCTAATCTGTCGTGGAATAGTATTCCAAACAGCACAAATATCCAAAATCGAATCATAAGACGTCTTTAGAACGTCTTTAAAACGGGGTCTATAAAGATCGTTCTACATTAGTGGCAAGTCGATTGCAACTCTTGTTGCGTACGATGCTCTATTGTAGATGGCCCT